TCTATTAATGTTGCGGTGTGTGGGTCGAGACAACTCCATTTTACCTCTGCATGAAGCCAATTTGCATTTCTTGCCCTTCCTCGCTTTTCCTCGACAGTCTTTTCCGCCATTTGAGGGGGGTGGATTGGTACACGTACGATATTTATATTTCCTCCCCCTGCCACAGGTCTTGTTGCATTCACCGTAATCTGACCAGTCACTCCAACCTCCATTAACTGCAATCAATGGTGAGATACGTTAAATGACGAAACTGGCTAAATCCACTTAATGAACATGAGAGGAATGTCATTTATGCCACTGTTCGACTGCAATTTTCATTCTAGCATCGGTTAACGAAACACTGCAAGCTCTATTTTATTTTTAAAACTATCAACTGTGTATTGATGTTTTCCGAAACGAGAAACAAAAGCATTACATCACCGATTTCTATGGCGGTCGGATCACAAAACGTCTCCTGTGCATTGATCATACGATATCACTCAATTCTATACAGAAAATCTCATAAGATATCACTCTATTTTATACAGATAATCAAATAATGTTCTATAACATGTGCACCGCACGGGTGCCGAAAATAATAGAATTTAGATGGCGAGTGAAACCACACTATACAAGAAGAATGTTTTGATATACCAAGATCAACAAATCTGCAGCGTCGCTGAGCACATTTTGTTAATGGTGTCGGAGAAGGCTTTGAAGTACTCCCTATTCATCGCAACGTGACATGAATATTGCAGTCCTAAAAGGTCACTAAGCTATCAACACTGACTCAACAGGAAAAAAAAAACCACCTATAAAGACTGCTACATTGCAACGAGCCCCTTACCATTGCATGGTCCGTTTTTGCAAGTCCGTGTTTCTTGGCTGTCTCCGGAACATTGTGCTCCACCACCTGACGGAGGGGGATTGGTGCAAGTACGTGAGCGTGCGTGCTGCCCATCACCACATGAAGCACTACATTGTCCCCAGTCTCCCCAGTTACTCCAACCACCGTTAACTGAAATAAAATTGGTACAAGAATCAGTATACTACTTGGCTTACGTGATATAGAAAAACGATTCTAGAGAATATTACAGCACCTTGGAAAAGGGAAACATCATGATATTACAGCGGAGCGCTTAAACACAAAGCTGGCGAGCGGAGCCCAAAGCTTAAGAAAGCCAGGTAAACTGCAAAGATGTGGTTGCCTAGTAAAAACTGTGCAACATTCTATGTGGGCATTGTATTTAACAAGCGCGACAAGCTGCACTGCCAGCACAGCGCAAGAACTTTACGTCGGCAGATTTACACGCTATGGGAATAAAACATATAAATGTCCACGTATATCATCGTTAAATGTTGTACTTACCAGGGCATTCATGAGTATTACAGGCTTGTGTTTCTTTGCTGGGCCCTACACATTGCGCCCCACCACCCGAAGGAGGGGGATTCGTACAGGTTCGTGAGCGTTCTTGTGCTCCACCCCCACAGGGAGCACTGCATTGTCCCCACGGTCCGTAGCTGCTCCATCCGCCATTAACAGCAGCTGAAAGAAGAACAGAGAAGTGTTACAGAACCGTTAAGCAAAATACATTCAGAACCCTCTTTTGGCAATGATTCAAATATTAAAATTAAGTTGTTAGACTTTCGTCACTAGTGCGCTACGAATAAGAACTACAGGGTCTCGGCATTAGAGATTTCGAGAT